CAGGATGTCTGACAATAAGATATAAAACTTGTGTAGGAATATAAATTAGGTCAAACTGAACAAAAAAATCTTACAATTTTACAAATAAACATATAAATTACAAACATGTAGATTTTTCACTGAATTGCTTGTAATTACGAGAAAAAGTTCTCTCTCTCTCATCATCCGTTTTTTTGAAAATAAAACCGAGAGATTATTTATAGATTATTAAGTTATTAATCCATTCTACGGGGCGACTCGAAACTTTTTGTTCTTGAAATATCATATTCTTGAATAAAAGTGAAATTTGAGACAATTTTTCCTTCTGTAAAATGTTATTTATCCAATACTTAGTGTTTAAGTTATAAAAATAAATAGTTTGTCTATTACGAATTGAGCATAGGAAGACAGAGGCAACACAATTCACAGTTAGGTGTCAGCAAGCACCAGCGTAGGACGCCTTGGGCAATTAGATGTATGACAATAGTTATATTCATTTTTATAATTTTTGTCAATAATCGTGCGCAATAGCAAATAAAATGTTTTAAATTAGTAAGATGTGATTATAATTCGTTGGTTTTCTTAATTGTAAAAACATCTTATGCTTTTCAAACTATGACTATTAACACTCCGCCTCTCGTTCGTATTTTTAAAGGTTATTTTCCAGTTAGCTAAAACGTAATCGAATATTTCACTCTCAAATATTATATTATAATTGTATTCTACTAATTTAAAGCACGTTATTTCCTGTTACATATTAACGAAAATTATAAAAGTAATGTGTATAATATGTATAAACACTATCACATGTATCAATTAGCTGTAGCACCAGACATCCCACTTGAGTGCTTGTATCTATCGATAAGTTGCGTCGCTTCTGCTTACTTCCTGTATCCGAATCGTAACAAGCAAACTATTTATTTTATTAATTCAAAAACTAAGTTTCGGATAACATTTTACAAAAGGAAAAATTGTCTCAGAATTCCAGAAGAATATATATGGCATTTCAAGAACAGGAAATTGTTTTGAATCACCCTATATAATATCGCTCTGAAAACAAAAGAATTGTGATACTCCGTGGCTTATTGAACACCAAGCCAAAAATTATAACGATATACAATTGTGTAGCATAAATATCCTCATTGATTGCTTCTCTTCTGGATTGGTACTATGTCCTTCATGGATTCGTTTTCAATGTTTTATGAGCATTTCACTTCACTTTTTCCGATCTTTAGTAAAGGAAAGATTGCAAACTGTCGGAAATCAGACCAAACAAATTAGCATTGTCGATAATTTTGACCGAAACGCAGTACGTACTTCATATAATTAACTTTTATTAAAGTTAAATATGTTTTATATAATTAACTTTTGACTTGAATATAAGCTTTAATTTTAACTTAATTTTTAATTTAGTTTTTGTTTATGCAACTTTCAACGTAACTAAGTTTATTTAATATGGCATTAGCTATAAACTTAACTTAGTTAAAAAATAATTAACTTACCCTGTATACACATATGACATAGTAGTGAATGTGTTAGTGAATTGTCATATATAAACAAATTTCTTGTATATTTGTGGATTTTTCATCTCATAATTTTGTATTTGTTTACTGACAATGTCACAATTCTGTTTCAAATAATATGCAGCTGATACTGTCTATTTTTTTAACAGTATTTTTAATATTACAAGAAAAATATATGTCGTGAGTTATTTTTTTTCAGATATATATTCATATAGAACTTGTAGTAATTTCTTTTGTGGACTCTGTAACATAAATAGACAAGCTTTTTTTAAGTTATTTCTTAATAACATTTCCTTATATTTTGTAAATTAAATCAGACTCTATAAACAATTACAAATTATAGATAATATAGGTTTTTCACAAAATACATGTTAAACTAAAGTGTTAAACCTAGATATAGATGCAAGATAAAATGAAATTAGTTATAATTGCTGAAATAAAAAATCTAACTAGTTACAGAAAAAGTATCTAAATATTTTAATTAGATAAATGTATCTACTGTAATTAGATAAATATATCTACTGTAATTAAATAAATGTATCTAGATATATATAATCTAGATACATTACAACACTGCAATTGTCATATGTTGCAATTATAATTAATAGAAGGAATCTGTAATCAATTATAATGTGGTCAAATGTTATTGTTCATATAGTTCTTTTACCTATGAAGCAATCCCTGTCATTACTACAAATAAGTCCTTTCTCTTTGAAATGATCAAATATCACTTGTAATCTGGCTACTTTGTTACTTAAACGATTATTTTCACTTTTTAAATATTTTAATTTCTTTCTTGTTTCTGTCAAATATCTATGGAACATAATCCAACATTGATATGAATTAAAATCTTCAGGACGTAGATCTCCAATATATCTTGGAGTGTTGCAACGTCTTTTTCCTACTAGAGGATTGTTTGTTTTACTGAAAGTAAAAACAGTCAAACTATTTTATCCTTCAATAATATTATTATAAAAGTATTATTTAAAACACACACATACACACACACACACACACACACACACACACACA